ATAAACTCAGCGGTCCGATCGGTGGTGCTCATAAGGCTTCCATACACTAACACGACCGTAACTTGAACCGAGAAATCGCAAAACAGGACTGCGCTAGCCTCGACAGATTAGCCGAGAGACTGAAAAACGCTGGTCCTCAATACGTCGACGTGACAACTCACATTAAGTGCTACACCACCCCCTTGACGGCCAGTGGAGCGGTCAGCGCGAAACAGTGCGTAGCCAGGCAGGTATACTTCGCCATCTGTGATTCCCTCAGACAGCCACCATTCAGTGAATGCAAGTCTATCTGAAAGAGATTTGTTTATGAGTAGACCTACCTTGTACATCTTGCCTCTCAGGTTAGGCACTTTACTAAGTACTACTTGGAGAAATTCGGCACGACCAACGCTGGGTCGTGCGCAGGTAGAATAGGTTCTGGCAGCGCGGAACTGGACCGCCGGCTGACCACTGAAAACCCACCAATAGGAGACCTTGCCCGTCAGCTGCATCCCGGACAATAAGGTCTCTTTGGCTTCCTTTTACGTTAACTTATCCGCTAACGGAATATCTGGTTGCACAATAACATTGCTACCTTTGAGCAATGTCTAAGATTTGGTTGAAAAACTGGAACGTTCCCCAATCTGATGGGCTTCTCGAGAGTAACGTCAGGGAAACCTGGTGGTAAAGCCTTGTCACGCAAACTTTAAACCAAGCAAGATCATCAAGCATGCGCTCGGTAGGAAGAGCGGCAGTAGATTCAGTGACGTTTCTGAAAATCACACTGCTATCTGCGTAACAATCGCCTCGACGAGATGCATCTACTCCACATGCTCTACCATCCACGTAACAGGTTTGTTTGACAGGGTTCTGTGGGACCGAAGTTAACAGCGCACCTTGTCTCATTAAGGGAAGTGCAACACAGGCTGGTGTTTCCCACCCAGACACTTGTTTCTTGAGCATTTTATCACCCGGTTTTTGGGAGGAAGTTTTGTGCGTTTTCCTTGCCCTGGTACGCTTATTCTTCAATGGCCCAGGAGCCCGTGACTCGCCTTCCACTTGGAGCGTGTTAACAATGCCATCCGAGGCATCTGTGTCAGTTATATCCACGTGAACTGGAGTGTCCGGTAGTATGAACGCCTCGTCAACGGATGGACTCTCAGAAGACGACAGTCGGTTACAGCGTCTACATTTGCAATATTCAGGCATTTCGTAAGCATATTCAATTTAGAGTTAAGCGAGGCAAGAGAGGCAAGCTCGGCTAACGGCTTCTCAACAACTGTGAATCTGGATGTTTTTCGTCTACTCACTTGCAAAAGCTACGCGCCCGAGCGAACCCTATTAGAGCCCGTCGCGGGCTTCAACCCACAGGAGTTCACGGTGGGCCCCCACCCGGGGTCTCGGCGCCCGTGATCACACTGAACCCAGTTCCATGTTTGTTTAACGAGCTGTATAGCCTGTAGGACTAGTATATACTAGCCGAGAAGATTCGCGAAATTTTGCGCGGATATTTGAAGGCAATTGAAGTCTGACACAGCGGACTCTATTTCATGGGTTACAAGAAGCCGCGGATGGATAAACCGAGACAAGTGCAAACACTTGAGCGCGGAAGCTTACAAGGCGGTCGAGTGTCGAACCGGTTGTAAGGAAGAGTAAAACAAGAAGGAATATGGCACAAATAGACAAATAACCCAGCGATACGCGCATACCTATTTCCATATGGGACTTGTTACGGAATGCGTATTTATAAAGGAAAAGTAACGCGGAAGCGTCAGTTGCATATATGAATGCCTAAGGAACAGTAATTTAACTGATCTAAGGTGAATGGGAAGGGAAAATACATGTCGGTCTCTGTTCAATATTTTGTAGCTTAATGAATACAACGGCTGAATGAGCTTTCATAGCGTACATAAATAGTTGATGAAACATGTGATATATATATATATGGGATTAAGGTTAACAATGCGTAAATTTTATCTACATAATTCTGTCTGAAAGTAAATGCGTATACTTATTTACAAATATGTGCCTTTCTTATTTTGCAAATTTAGCGTGATTAGAAAGGATATTGCTCCTTCAATCTATCCATGTTTATATCCTTATGTAGGAAGACATTTGTACACGTTTTATTGTAACACTGCTCAACCGCACTATGTAATTTAAGAGGGCGACACGTTGTTAGTCTCCGCTGTGATTGCCTAATGCAAATCAACGCAACTGGAAGGCCATAGACCAAAGTATACGTTCTTTTCGTTTCAGCGATATATTTGACATTACCCGTACGTAAATGAGTTAATAATTGATTATGTACTTTCCCTTTTTCATGGAGTTTAACCAGTATCTGTAATTGCACATATCAAAGTAGCAGGAGTAGAATAAGTAGGTTACGCATTTTATGAATTAGCTAATACGGTTCTTATAAATAATAATAAAGGAAACTTATCAGGTGCAGTATATGCGGAACTTATATGAAGCATAGAGAATACTTGGATGGCAAACGAATAAGGAAGAAATCAATGAACATGTTTTCCACGTTTTCATACAAGTAGCCCACATATATACGCAAGACTATCTGTAGGTTTATGTTCCTGCGAACGTGACGAGTGCTCAGTAAGGCCAAATCTATCTTTTTTGTCAATTCTCTATCTTTTTTGTTACTTCTTTATCTTTTTCTGTCAGGCCAAACACCCTACGGGACAAGTCAAGCACCTGCTTTTTTACCCGTTATAAATCATTGTTCATAGTTCATTATGACTGCCTCAAGGGTGGCATTTGTTTATTCACTTAACCGCACTCGAGTATGGGCTGCGATTGATTGCATGAGCGATGTATGGAAATGTATCGTAGGTTCTATATCAGCCGTGTCATAAAAGTCATTAAACAGGTATAGTTTTTTGGCTTCACTGGGGTAAAGGTATGGCGCTTAGTAAGCCTATGTATGTTCCACAGGGAAACGTACTTGTGGCCCACAGTGACCTTTATGTTATCGGCGCCAGGAGTCTACATGAACGGCATTCACTTATCCTTAGTGAGTTCCAAGATATTTGCATCCATATAGGCTAAAAGGAAGCCCCACATACTTGCTGCGCATGCCTTGGATGCTTGTTATTAATAGTGCTATATTGGTCGCAAAGCATTGGTGTCGTTATCGGACCCAGCGTATTCGCCGTTGTTGAAACCGTAGTCCATAAATACGAGCGGTTATTAAGCCCATAATAGCCTCGCAGTGGCGGTATGGTAAGCACTGCTAACGAATCAAATGAAAATAAATCTGCAGCCACCAGAAATGATTTTAACTTTGCCCAGGGCAGCTGCATCAATTTTGACACCATGGAATTGGTAACGACTGGTCTAACACGCCTTCATGGCTGATAGTACATAAGTATTTTAGGCCTTCACGTTGTTGGCGTTGTAATCGGCACGGGGGAGAAATGCCCTATTGGCACAGCGCGCCTTCATACCAGTGGTTATGAAATGAATTTAGGTCGTATAGCAGACATTATTGTCGCTATGAAAGAAACCGCAGTGGTAAGCTTAGGCATTGCGACAAAACTAACTTAAGTAATGGGCTTTGTTAACGCTACTGAAACAACTGGAATAATGTCACATGGCTTTTCATTTGTTTCTGTCATTTTATGCAACTGCGTTTAATGCATTACGCTGTGATCGTGGAAATATGGAAATGTTAACGAAAAAGAGGCACAAATGGAGCGCTGCAGTCTGTGCCGCTTCCGAATATTCTCGTCAGCATGGGGGGCGTGTGAGGCGCTCTTGACCCATAACGGGCAAAAACTGAGGAATGGTAAATGGGAACGTGTTCCGGAGACACACATGCAAGTAATATGCATAGATGTAAGGCGGGATTGACTTACTTAATCACATGGAAACGATGTAGCTTACCTCCTGTTAGTCGCGTGTATGGTTCACGTCACCAACATCTTAGATACAATTACCAGAATATAAAAGCAACGCAGTTCGGTGATATACGTTTGATAATTTTTAATTGCGGGGCCATCTATCAACCGGAGAAGAGGGTGCATACGGGCGACTGAACCATCGAAGCTACTTATTAGACCATTGATAAATTTTTGGTCTGGCATTGTCACATACCTTGTCTGGAAGTTGATTTCGGAAATGGTGTAGTGACCATTCCTGCCAAGTCGGAACCACTGTAATGTAGTGGCTTGCAGACAGTCAGATGAGCTAATTCAAACGAGCCGCCTCAGACTGCATACAAAACTGATAGCGGTAAAAAACGTGCTTACCGGCTGCTGTGAGATTGGCACTGCAGACCTCTGGTATTGTTGGTCAAGGGTAATATGCAACGCTAGGCGTCCATAAAAATAAAATTTGGTCTACGTTGCAGTGTTGAGTCACTACAGAGTAGGTAATGTTAACTTACCGGTTAATGCATTGTTTATCTCCAGTTCAGTGTTTCCCTTTCGAAGGTGTGTAGTAATGAACAATGCATGACGCTAGGAGTGATAAGTCGTCAGTAAAGAGTTCGTGAGTGAGGCGAAAAAGTAGCATTTTTGGTGTTATGCTGTCTGAAATTCCAGAGAAATGTTACGGCAGCAGTTGCACACAGTAACTAAGTGGACTGTGCAGTACGTTATTCGGTGGACGATTACGGATCCACCCACTACACATATGTCCCAGTGCCCCAAACGTTGAAAGCTGTCCGCTGTTTAAATGGTGCTTGCAGATGGAAAACGCAAGGCTATAGCACAGATGGTGGACTTGAGAAGTACCGGGGTTCGTTCACACAGACAACCACTTAGATTTCAGAACTTCACGTGAAATAACTACTTATTATCGGGAAGCTGCGGAAACATACCACATAGCGATGTCATATGTGACAGGTGCTATGAAATCGGAGTATATACATTGATGTAACTTGCCTGTGAAAACCGGAGGCTGCAGTGTTACGGAGGACGCTGGGCAAGGCAGCGGCCTTCAACGGATCCGGGAATTGTTAAAGTTTCTGTTGTTAGGTAAGTGAATGAAAGAAACATACTTACGTGTTATCATGATGACAGGCGTTACGGCTGGTAACGATGTCGTCGGAGGATGCTGCACAACAAGGCGACATAAGGGAGGACGTGACGCGTATCTTACTTGGGCTGAATGCAGTGTGTACGCCTTTAAGGCAATTGCCTTGAACATCTGTGGCCTCAGTTTTACTGTGGACGTTGGGTAGGACTGCTGCAATCGTTGAAACTGGGCAGCGTTACCATTTCTGTGTAAGGATAAGGGAATGCAATAAGCACGCTTCGTTTCATCATGCTGCGGCAGGTTACGGCGGGGGATGATGTCTGCGGTGGATCCTACGCAACACGTCGGCATGAGGGAGTATGTGGCGAGTGTGTTATGTGGGCTGTGATCGGAAGCATCCGACCGCCAAACCGTAAGAGGCACCTGCTTCCATGTGCGACTATGAGAAAGAAGGCCCGTTGTATTCCGAAGTGAAATATTGAATCCTACAAAGACAAGAATTAAGTAACGGGGAAATGTCGTGAAATCAGTAAAACAGTGATGACGTGGTTACTTACCTGATATCCATAAGGAATGTAGAGAAAAGTAATTCTTTTCGTGGTGCCAAGTGGATTGTTCGGGTTTCTCCCGTTCCAGCTAAAGTTTCGGTGGCTGCGTTCCCGGGACGTGGTGGGTATTCGTCTGGCTCTCCATTTAGCTTCGCAACGTTTAATGTTGGAATTTGGATGCCGATCGGATTGCAAGCATGTTTGGCCACCCGAATAGGAAGAGGTCCAGGAGCAGGGGGTTAGCTTAAAAGATCTTGTAAGTGTTCCGCCCAACGAGCCATATGGCGCTCCTTATTGTGTCAGTGCTCCCGCGTGCTCTCTGATTGTCTCACTGCCGCCTGATTTCCTGAACCCAGTGGTTGGTATCAGCTAAAGGAGCTTTCGGTATTTGCCTACTGTTTCAGCCTTTACTTCGTGCCTAATAGTCCGACTGCTCACTTTGTGCTCATAGCCAGCCTGGAGGTATTTTAGATACAACCAGGTCCACGGACCTCACGGATATATAGTGACTGGTGCCGTGACGGTTGATAGTGCCAAAAGCAGATGCTCCGGCGTCCTGAATGGCGGCCGAGATCCTATTCCGTTGGAAGTCAGTGTCACAAAAACAACACAGCATAAGTTTGGTATACAGTGCGTCTTGATAGGCTTGCCTGACCTAGGGCGTAGACAGTTTCCCAGTTGCCAATCGGAGGGGACGCTTGGTGCGCTCCCCGGTGAAGTTCATGGAGAAACGATAGCGTATTAAGGCATGATCATAGTCGCCACGGGTACTCTAGTACGAGCGGCAATCCAGCATAGAAGCAGGCCATTTGTACCTTATGGTTATGTGGTCAATTTTGGTCCATCGCTGGCCAGCTACAGGAGGACGCCCGGTTGCAATTCGTAGCCCACTGTGTCTAAAAGCAGTGCTACTAAGAAACAACATGCTTTGCACACAATGGTAGGAGACGCTCGCCATTTTCAGTCCGTTGGAAGTTAAGTCCATAATTTCCATCTAGGTGAGCTTCTGAAGAGCACAGACGTCCTACTTGTGCGTTTCGGAAACACATCACACATATCAATACTTGCGATCACTGTAATCACGCTTCCGTACGCTGTCTTTTCAGCATTTGTTTCACCGGGAGGCGCACCAGGCATGCCCTGCGATGACTCACTGAGTATTACGCTTAGCGTTTAGTCAGCGAAGCCTAGCAGGGCGCACTGCGTATCGAAATTTTGATGTCTTAATCTAATGACACTGGGCTTCTTCGGATTGGTATCGCTGCCACCATGCATGAGCATCTGCTTGCGGCACCATAAATCGTCACTGCACCGGTCACTACATATCCGAGAGGTTGGTGAACCTGTTGCAATTCGGAGGAAACCTTTCTGTCGAGTTTTAGCACAAGGTGACCACACGGGCTATTCCGCTCAACGTGAAGTGAAGCCTAATTGCTGACAAGGAAACCTGTTGGAGCGTATAGGCTAAGGACAGGTAGATGTGGATGGCGTCCTTAAGGCACTGCATATAGCAAATAACCAGCGTACTAACAATAAACTAAAAACGAACTCATCATTGCCCGTTAGGTAGGAAACATATGGAACCTCCAAAACATGTACGATGCCGTATGCCCGCTGGAAATTGATGGCCAGAATTCCATGCGGATTTCACTAAGCGGTGGCATACACATGTCTAGTACGACGTACGATGGATGAAGGAGAGCAGATACGCATCATTCCATGACTTGCGATATACCTGTGAAGGCACATTTATTACACTATGGTAGCCATTCATGCTGCGGAGCCACATCTAAAACAGCCTTTATGCACTTCAAAGGAAACGTACCTGATCAGAATGGGGATGCTTTGGTGTAACTGTGTGTATCAGGTAACACGATAAATAACCGTTAAAGCACTGATAACTGCAAACGATAAAATATTGAGTAATGTTGCCAAATGAGCGACATGCAATATTTTAAAATTTGGAGGTGATGCATATGACACTAACGAGCATCAGCCGCGGTGTCCTGTTGGAAGCTACAGGCTGAGTTCACTCACAGACGCGCTTGCGTGGTGTACATGGGTCTGTTCTCGGACAGGGCCGTTTTCTCGGCTTCACTAATGACGTTGTACCGCAAGTGCACACTTTGCTGCTGTTATGTGCTAATGCCGCTAAAGTGTGGCACACACTTAATTTTCTAGACGAGGCCCACGTACTTCAGACGGACCTCGACCGTCTACATCAGTGATTCATATAAAACGACCTTTCATTTAACGCTTCGAAATGTCGCGTCCTTTCTACCCTCCCTACCGCCTTTTCTCCAATATATTACCTGGGAGCGTCTGTCCTCCAGCTCACTTCAGCTAAACGAGCCTTGAGAATCATTAGTCAGACGAGTCTTTCCGGTCTTTTGACCCTGCGCGTGCAGAACCTTCTTCCCACGTAGTGGCTGTAGTCTGAGTCACACCAGCGACGTAATGTATAGAACGCGCTTGCAAATTATGTATACTAAACAAAATTACATAAGTTTGAATGTATCATAGGCACAGGTGAGCGCCACCAGTCTGTGTTAGTGCTTCTTGATTCATTGCTGTCTCTGTTTGGCCACCTCTTGTCCGTTGTCCGTTTTTCCCGAGATTCCTACAAATACATCCGCCAAAACAAGAAGGTTTATCCACTGGGACTGGCCGACCCATCCTCAAAACGCTTGGTCCTTTCTCCAGGAAATGAAAAACCCACACACTGGTCCAAATGGAGCTCATTCCGCCATTCCGGAGGCGCTACCTTCACGGGGTCTAAACAAATGGGTTTAGCTTGCCTCGTACTCAGAGAACAATTTACTCACCTGGAAGAATATATGTACATGGATCCCCCGTTCCACAACCGAAGACAAACAACTCTGGCGTGATTACCTTCACTGCCTCAAACATTCCTATTCGCCAGTCACCTGGAGCTATTCTGATGTCCTTTCACGGACAGCGTTGCGCACGTATACGTGGCTATTCCGATGGTCTTCCATGGAATTTTCACTTGGCTATGGAAACAGTTACACTTACTTACATTTGCAGGAATCCCAAATCCAATTTGCAGAGAATGGCGTTTTTACCTATTAAGGACATATTCAGCCACAAGAAACAACTTCACTCACCGACCTCATGACAAGTCCAGCGTGGATAGCTGGACACGGTTTGCGAGCCGAGCAAGAATATAATAGAAGAGCCGGCCTCTATTAACAATGTGTTTACTCACCTGCATCATTATCATTCGACTCTTCGAATCTTGCATCATTGACCGGCCCCAAAGACTGCTGCCGTATCAGTACTAAGCCATTCGGCCAACCAACGAAGAATTTTGGCTGTCAACCGACTGCGAATAATAGAATGCAAAATCGGTCTATACGATGCATAACCGACTTGCACCACTGTTCAACGAAAGCTACGGCAGTGTTCCAGGACGTGGTGGGTTTTCGCCTGGCAAGCGTTCTCCCTATAAAAAGCCACAAATGTCCGCTTAACAACACTGCAACGTGGCGGATGTGACTCGCCACAAAATAAAGTCACAGCTAAGCATTTCACACTGACGCAGTCCTCAGCCTTCTACATCGAACCTGTGCAACTAATTCTGCTATGAAGAATGCTTTGTTGGAGCACAGATCATCCCTATCTCGTAATGGTTATTGGTTGCAACAAAACCTTGTTTAGGTTCCTGTGCTCACGGATCACTACCTGGCGAAATTACCCCCAACTTGTGTTTTGACGGATTTTGCGCGCCAAAGCGCCATAATGTCCCTGGGTCTGACTATTACCTGACACTATGCTCACTCATACGGACAACATCTTTTCTTTTATACCTTTCATTAAAACGAAATGTTTTAACATTCCACAGAAGCTATGCTTGTATGCATATTCGATCACGCCTTTACAGTTGTGTCTCGTTTTACCGAGAATATACTATTTATTTATTTATTTATTTATCCGCTTCATGCCGTAAAGCAGCTGCTGTTGCTAACCTTATGGTTTGATTGCTGAGACCAGCCTTCCGTCAAATGGACCCCAACCTTCGCCGCCTAATAAACCCTTTGCTTTGACCCCAGGCTTGGAGCCCTCTTTGTTGAAGGAAAAAGTTATACTCAAGGCTCCAAAACGTCGAGCAAGAAAACTAGTTGAATTCCTAAAGCACCTAGATTATCCACAACGACTTCACTGCCTAGGCCTCTACTCGCTTAAGTACCGACGTCTCCGTAGCGACCGGCTCATTGTATTTATGCTCTTATCCAAACCTGGACCTCTTTGTCGCCAACTACTCACACTGCATCAATCGTGCTCTTACCTACTTGGCGACCCACGGAGGCTCACACATCGGCACCGTTGGCTGAACTGCAGACGACACTACTTCGCTTTTGGAATCTGCCTACCGTGCAACGCTGTGCCTGCCGATTTTGTATTCGCGCTCACCTTGGTGGATTTCAAGACCCGCCCGGATTGTCATCTGGCCGCGCTACACCGCAGCAGTCCCTGAGGCAACTACCTTCTACTTGATGGAGTTTCTCGTCTTTTTTCTTTTCTACATAATTCCCTTCCATATCTCGTTTCGGAGGGCGTGGTGGCATGTCACGCTTTGAGCCAGAGTGCATTCTGTTTAAAAGCCGCATAAACCGGATGAAGATACAGCTAACGCGTGTGTCCAACCCCCATAATGTGGCTTGGGCTTTCATCTGACCCGACCAGAATTCTGTTTACCTTATGGGTCATATAAACCTCTAGATTTTATTCCCATACAAAAGCTGCATATGTGTGTTTTTAACTCCGAAAGAAACTCCTCTCTCTGCCACAATTTCATCGCCTGTCTCACAGGTCCCACTTC